AAGTAAAATAAAATCCTTGACATCAATAGTTTACCGTGCTGTGGATTCAGGTATGGGAATTCTGTTTTCTTTGTATTGAGCTCTAAACCCTACTGAAGATTTAACATTTCAAGTATCTTCAGAAAGTGCCTCAAGTGTTTGTTTTCTGCAAACAATGTTATTTGCATATTGCAGGTTTCAGTGAGTCTTCATCCCATCCTTCATGTTGTACAGTTTCTCAGTTTATTTCTTCAGCATGCAGATGGTGAGAAGATACAACCTTGAAGCAGAGCTTTCCTGATCGTAAAACATGTCATGTTCCTTAATTATCCTCAGACTAGTGTTTCTTAGTCTGGGTACAGAATCCACAAGCAAAATTAAGAGTTCTAGAATTACAGTTCTTCTCAATATGATCTACATTGTTTTATAATCAACACAGTTGAAGGTGTTTTCATAGCTAAAAAAACATAAACATCTTTCAGTGTTCTCTTGTTTTCAGGCAAGACTCATCTGACATCAGCAATAATAGTCTTCATTTCAGCTTTTTTCTTCAACATGTTTTCCCTTTGTTTCAGATATTCAGCTCTTGAGTGAAATTTTCAAAGTCTCTTCTGAGTGAGAAATGATCTCAGTTTGAGGACTAAGGTGCATCTGATTCAGGCCATGGTCTTTCCAATACTTGCTATGCATCTGAAAGCTAGACAATGAATAAGGATGACAGAAAAATGTATTTTTTTGAGCTGTGATGTTAGAGAATAGTACTGGATATCCCATGGACCTGCCAAAAGAACAAATAGACATGTCGTGGAGAGAGACAGCCAGAATGCTCTTTGGAGGAAAAGATGATCAAGTTTTGCCTCACATATGTCAGTCAAGGTTGCTTGGAGGGGCTATTCCTTGGAGAAGACAAGATGCTTGAAAACAGAACGAGTGAAGGAGAGGAAGACCTTCAACCAGGTGAACTGATATAATCACTGCTTCAATGGGCTCCTGTTTAAGAAGTGTGAGGATAGCACAGGATAGGACTGGGTTCGGGATCAACAGCACCTAACAACAACAATGTGGTACAAAGCAACAACAACAACACAACTATTCTTTTCTCACCCGCTACATCATAACCTTCTACAATAAATATTCTTTTCTTATCTCCAATTGGGCTTACTGTTTTAATAACAACTCTATTTGATATTTTAATTTGTTCTTGAGTATTATTTGCCTTTCCATTAAGAACTTTCTAAGTTCTTCCTCTAGAACCTTTCTCTAGTACTGTCTTCCTTTAAAAACCAATGATTCATCTACATTCTGTACCCCAGCACCAATCACAATACACACAATGTCTGATTGACCTCTTAAAAAGAAATGGTCATTACCTGTGGTCATTAACATTCTATAAACATTATATGTTTCCAGTGCTATATAAGTTAATGCTAGCTTCCTGGTACAAAAGGATATGTTTCAATTGCAATTTTGGGAATAGTCATAAATGTGTGGCTAAAAATATTCTCCATTTAAATGGCCGTTTTATGAATGAAAAAAGTACAGCCACCACATCAACACTATGTCCTCTTCTAAATTTATATGCACTCTCTTTTCAAATACTTTGTCCTCTAATGTACTTGTATTTTATCTTTTCACATTTAAAAAAAATATTCTCACATTTTATATCTCTGATTCTATTTCTAACCTCTTTATTTCTTATTCTTTCCTTTTATGTGACACCGCCACATACACATAGCCTTTGCACCTGTGTCTTAAATTTTCTTTACAGCTAAAAGATGGAATTAGCTTTGGGTAAAACTGTGTGTGTGTGTGTGTGTGTGTGTGTGTGTGTGTGTGTGTGTGTACGCGCACGCGTGCATGTGCACGTGCTCCCTCTTCTACAAGTAAGAACTCTCTCATGTACCTCATGGTTAGCTAGGAGGACTGAAGTGAGTTTTCTACATTGCCCTAAATTTTGAAATTTTGACCTCACTTCCTGTCCCAGCTTTAATTCTCACAATTTGCACTTAAGTTCTGAATTCTTTTACGCCTCTAAAGGAATTTACAGCTCCTATATTCTGTTCTAGGTACAAGTGCAATTAATTGAGTAGCGACATTTTTAGCAATTGTGGCAAAATGAGAACAAACCAGCTATCATGGTGGAAATTTTGTTGCCGAGCCCAACTTGAATCTCCTCGAAATGTGCCTTCACTTCAGCAGAAATTGACAAAAATGTAGAATCAGAAGGTAGTATAAAATAATATACCAGTGACGTTCTAGTTTAGGAGAAGACTTGCCATTAAAAATCTCTAAGTGTAAGCTCTTGCAATTAAAAAAGAAATCATTGACCTTACCTTGTTTTGAATTCATTTATAAGTAACAGAGTTGTAATGTAAATCTCAACTTTAAGTTCTTTGGCAATAACATACAAAACTTGAGTTAGTCTGTATGTGTGTATGCTTACTGAATTCCTAGCCAATAGATAAAGAAGTAAAGACTTATTGTCAATTTCTTCCTCTTTCCAACATCTCCTTCTCCTGGATATCCTTTCACTCAGCGATTTAAATAAAACATGACACAAAGTTTGTCCTGAATTTCTCAATAATTTAATGTTCCAAATCCCTCAATAAAGACAGTCCCTAGATTACAAATGAATTCAATTTCTATCATAAATCCATTTTCTTTCTTTTCTATTTTTTTTTTTTTACAGAGGTTTTGGATTTCCATTCATTCACTGCCGCAATTTTCTCCCTGCCCACCCCTCCCCACCAGCTCATAAATCCATTTTTAACTACAATTTGTACATAAATCAGAACAGTTAGACAAAGTTTGGATCAAGTATCGGTTAAGTGTGTCTTAGTAAATGGTATACGTTGTTGTTAATTGCCGTCGAGTCATAGGTGACTCATAGTGACCCTAAGAACAAAAGACCTGAACACTTGTATAACTTTCATAGTTTCACCAAATTCAAAGGGTTTCCAGAGGCAAGCTATTTTGGAAGTGGATGCCACTCCTGCTTCCAAGGTTATTTTAATTGGGGAGCGCCACCAAACACTGTCCACCATGGGTAACCATTATCACATTTGATACATTAGTGTCACAGTGTTTAACATCACAGCCACCATGAGTCACCTCTATACAGCCAATGGACAGAGCAGTGCTATACCACTTAGAAGAATGTTTGACCAAAAACAATTAAAACCAGGCCCAAGAAAAAAATGAGTAAATAGATACTTCCATATACACTAAATATTGTTAACCTAATGATACAGTATAATAATATTTTACATGCACCACAAAATCATACCCACTTGTTATTGTGAACCATTGTGTGTACCTTGAATTTTTAACATAACAGACTTTTTAGAAATTGGTTGGTAGCTATCCGGTTATATGTAAGTCACACATCTGTAACCCTGGGACTACATGCAATCTGTGCATCACCATTTATAAAACTTTGTAAAATACATCTGGTCCTTCCATCCTATGAGTTAGATAGAGGAGATCTCATGCTCATTTTACAAATGGGGAAATTACAACTCCAATAAATCACAGCATGCTGTTCCATTTATGCCTGGCATAAAGATGTGGCAACCAGCTCCAGTAAAAATGTACAGCCTTGGAATTCCCTGTGGGCCGTTCTGTTCTATCCAGCAGGTCACTACGAGTCAGTAGCAACAAATGTGTTTTGTTTTGCTTTCTATTCAGGTCTTATACCATTGAGAAGTGAGTTAGGTACTCTCTTCACCCACTGACTTCATCTGTCTCCCCTGAACTCGTTCCCTGCTTAATTCTACACAGAACCTATCCTATGATAATTACAAGAAGTTTTTCTTTTGTAGATGCTCGTTCCAGTTAAGAAACAAAAATATTGTTAGTTTTATCCTTTTATGTCCAGATTCCACACAACTCAATCCCAAAATGCCTTATAGTTGTTTAACCCTACTCCCAAAATTAGCAAAGATAAGTGAACAATGATTCGCTTCTCTTTTGGGGGTTCGGTTTTCAGGGGGGAGTGGGTATTGGTGGGTTTTTTTAATTCACCTCTTTTAAAATATACATCAAAGCAAATAAGGATGGTGTGAAGCATTACAGGCAAGCATAAAAGGATATAAAGTGTAAAGGGGGAAATCACATTCATTTCTGTGATGCACATTATTTGCATAATATTTATCTTATTATTTGCATAATATTTATAGTCTTGGTTCCAGGCTTCTAATTATCACTCTAATATGAAATATGAAGAACGGCTATTTGGATTTCTCTGGTTTTCAAACATTCTTCTGAACCCAAGACAACCCACCGCTGAAGCCAATGGCTTTTTTTTTACTTCCCTAGGTTCCTATCTGGAGAGACAAAAGTCCCTGCTTTTGTAATTAAAAAAGCAAACATCCATGTGAAGACACGGAGATGTCACAGTGAGCTGAAGAAATAAAGGCTGTAGGTTTACAATGATGGAGCAAGGCTTTTGAAGCATGACACACACATTCACCCTTGCTTGGCATTCACAGTAAATTATTTTTACATATTAAATGCGGGGTTTTTTTCCACACCAACAGCTTTCATACTTTCTTCCTTGCAAGCTAGTTCCATCTCATATCTTATTTTTCAACCAAGCTTTTGAATTTCAACTACATTCTCTCCAGTCTTCGTATCTACTATCTGACACTTCTTATACTTCACCATTTCATTTTTAACAAATTCATTTAGAAGAGTATTTTGGCCTGAGTCCAGAATTCAATGCTAGTCCCAGCTCAACCAGTGGCAAGAGGCATCTTTTGCCTTTTTTTTTGGCCCAGGGCCTGTCCTGGTTTACTCTTTTGATATACTGAAATCAAGAGGCTGCTTTGGGGACGTGTTTAGACGTGCCCCATTAGCTATAAGACAGATACAAGGATCAATTCTAAATCACTTATTTCTTGCTTTAGACAATACCTTAAAACTTTTCTTTCTACACATTATTGACTCACATTTTTTGGTTAATCTAGGAGTATTGCTTCAGCACCATCACCACCACCCCTTTGCTCTGACATTTTACTCACCGGCTGCCTCTTGACACCTAGCCAATTTTTCCAGACTAGGATCCGAAGTTGGTGAAACTGGGAAGCCATCCTTTAAACACTCTGGACAGGGTAATTCCTTTCCTTTCCACCACAGCAGAAGAATTGCTATCCTTGTTTAACTTGCTATTTGTCAGTGGGCTGGAAGCCTTTTCACGGCATAGCTTTTATGAGGGTTGGGGTAAGAAACCCACAGGAGTTTGTAAATTTTTTTTTTCTTCTTTCCTGTTGGATTTCCTCCCTTCAAGTCAATTTTTGACTGAGAAGGTCTTCTCAACCAAGTCTTTCTTCAGAAACAGGACCCAGATCACTACTGTCCAGTCGAGTCTGCTTATTCCAAAGAGCATCCAATTGCTGCTTGCTGCAGGAAGCTTCCACTCCAAGGAGAATGACTGTCATTCAGATAATGTCTCTCTGTAAACACACACACACACTCACACACCAAGCTGAACCCACACCTCCTACTCGTCATGAAATTAACTGCCTATCCACACCTTAGAGAACGTGTCACCTGCGCCGGGCGCGTCATAAGGAATTAGGTGGGACCCTTGCCAGGCCAGTAGGACTTGTCCTACATTATCTTGCCTTCATTACCACACACAGTGCCTGTTGTAGCAGAGGCAGGACACAAAGAGCACTTTCCAGACTCTCAGCATCGTCTCTGGACCCAGTGACTCTCATATGATCTCTTGTTGTTAACACAGTTTAAGTAAATAAGCCTAGAGCTCAGCTGCGACACATTGAACCTCAGCCCATTCATAGAGAGAATACAGGAAGTCTCCATCGTCAATCTCAAGTGTATTGCTTTGATTTCAGATGAAGTAACTAAGTTGGCTAGGTTCCACCTCCTATCACCCTTTATCAGGGTAGGCATGATACAGAAAATAAAAGACCGGCACAAGTGGCACAAGTGATAGAAGTGGTATTCAGTAGATTGCCTCTGACTGGGGTGGGGATTTATGACTCTATTATAGGAAAGTCTTACTGCTTTAGTCCTCAAGACCACAGGATACATAGGCTGCCCTGGGCTATTTGTTAGTTCATGGTAGAACAGAACTATTCTGTTGGTATGTGCCACTGAGTTGCTCATGACTCTACGTGACCCTATGCACAATAGCTCTGACCCTGGCCTATTCTGAGCCAATCTCATTGTCTTTTGAGACACTTACACCTATTATCGCAGTTACTGTGTCAATCTATCTCATCCAAAGTTTTCCTCTCTTACACTGTCCCTCCACCCTTCCAAGCATGGTCCTTCTCCAAGGGCTGGTTCCTCCTGACCGTGTTCTTGCCTCTAAGGCTCAGCTTGGTTTCATCCTCTCCAAGAAAGAACTGTTTGTTTTCTGGTCAGTACTCCTCTCCAACATCACCACTCAAATTCTTCTTCTGTCATATTTGGTTCAGCTCTCTGATATATAGCAAGTAATTGCAAAGACTATGACCTGAATCAGGTGCACCTTAGTCTCTAGACTCACATCATTGCTCTTTAGCACTTCCAAGAGGTCCCTGACAACATATTTCCCTAATGCAATACATCTTTTTTATTTCCTAATTGTTAGTTCCAAGAGTGTTGATTGTGGAGCCAAGGAAACTGAAATTGCTAACAACCTTAATCTCTTCTCCATCTACCATCATGCTGCCAATTTGCCCACTGGTGAAAGTCTTTGTCTTCTTGATGCTGAGCTTCAATCTATATCAAGTGCTTCAGGTCCTCCTCATTTTTGACAAGTAAGGTTGTGTCATCTGCATAATATAGGTTGTTGATCAGTCTTCCTCCAGTCCTGATGCCACATTCTTCCTCATAAAGTCCGGCCTCCTTTTCCATATACAGATTGAAAAGGTATGGAGACAGATTGCATCCCTGACAAGCTCCTTTCCTGATTTTGAACCATGCAGTGTTTTCTTACTCTGTTCTGACGACTACTTCCTGGTCCAAGTGTAGGTTTTGCATAAGCACAATCAATTGTTCTGGGATTCTCATTCTTCTCAAGGTTAGCCACAATATGTTGTGATATACACAGTTAAACACCTTTACATAGTCAATGAAACACAGATAGACATTCCTATGGTACTCTCTACTTTCAGCCAAGATCCATCTGACAATGTCTCTAGTGTCATGGCCTTTTCTAAAACTAGATTGCATTTCTAGTAGTTCTCTGTAAATACACTCTGCTGGTCATTTTTTATAATCTTCAGCAGGATTTTGCTTACATGTGATATTGTTTGATAATTTCCACAATCTGTTGGGTCATCTTTGCTTTGGAGTGGGAATTACTCTGTACTTTAAAATTCCCACTAAATTAACAAAGGAAACTTACTGTATAACAGAAGGGGGCAGGGAGAATCTTCCCTGCTATCATATTGGTTCTGATGCACAGTAATCTTTTTTGTGTGTTTCTGATGCTTTAAATCTTAACAGGAGGGAATTGCCTATCTTCTTCCTTTAGAGGTTCTGGTGGGTTCCAACTGCCAGGGACCTTTTGGCTGGCAGTGCAACACCCCATGGACTATATGATATCAGAGCTCCACAGCTATTCAAAATGTTTATAATTGAACACTTCAATTATGGCTAAAAGTGTGTTATAAAGTTTTCTAGGAATAAATGCGTTTAAGCATCTATAATGGCAACTCATTCCTTCTCGTAGATAATGGTCTCCACAAGTCTGGCTCCACACTATTTCTCAATGTTACCTCCTAAGTCTTTTACAATTGTTTAAACACCTGCTAACCTCATCTTTATTAAATAATAGCTTCTTATTTCTGATTCCTGGCCTTTGTTTATTCTCTCCTCTCTGATTGATATATCCTCTTGCATCTCTAGACTACACTGCTGTTAAGTGCCCTTGAGTCAGTTCTGACCTTGAGTCACATCAACTTTCATAAAACAGAATGAAACACTACCCACTCTTGTGCCACTTTCACAAGCATTTTAAGTTGGAGCCTATTATTGCCGTCACTGTGCCAATTCATCTAATTAGGGTCTTCTTTTCTTTTGTTACTAACTCATTAGGAAAATTAAATCAAGTCCATGGAAACCAAGATTTGACCTTAAGTCTATCGCACTCAAAGTTCAAAACCATCTCAGGAACAGGTGTGAGGCCCTGAGCACCAATGAGCATAGATCAAATGAGCTCTGGGAGGATATCAAGAAAATCGTCCATGAAGAATGCAAAAGATCATTACAAAGGCTGAAAAAGAGGCAAAGACCAAGATGGATGTCAGATGACACTCGGAGTATTGCATTAGAGTGCTGAGAAGCCAAAGCTAAACGAAGAAACCAAGAAATCAAAGAGCTGAACAGAAAATTTCAAAAGGCAGCTCGGGATGACAAAGCAAAATACTATAATGAAATGTGCAGAGAGCTGGAGTCAGAAAATCCAAAGGGACGAACTAGCTCAGTGTTTCTTAAGCTGAAGGAACTGAAAAACAAATTCAAGCCACGGGTGACAATAATTAAGGATACTTTAGGTAGAATGTTAAATGATCCAGGAAGTATCAAAAGAAGATGGAAGGAGTACACAGACTCACTGTATCAGAAGGAATTGGCTGACACAGAGGAATTTCATGAAATAACATATGAGCAAGACCCTGTGGTGATGAAGGAGGAAGTTCAAGTTGCTCTGAAGGAACTGGCAAAAAAAAAGGCTCTAGGAATTGACAGCATACCAATTGGTTTATTTCAACATAAAGACGCTGCCCTAGATGTGCTCACTAAGTTGTGCCAAGAAATCTGGAGGACAGCCAGCTGGCCAACTGACTGGAAAAGATTGGTATTTGTTCCCATTCCAAAGAAAGGTGACCCAACAAAGTGTGGAAATTATCAAGCAATATCATAGCTATCACATGCAAGCAAGATTCTGCTGAAAATTATCCAAAAACGTTTGGAACAATATGTCAACAGAGAACTGCCAGATGTTCAGGCTGGATTTAGAAGAGGTCGTGGTACTAGGGATATGATAACTAATGTTAGATGGATCTTGGCAGAAAGCAAAGAATACCACAAGAATGTCTATCTGTGCTTCATTGACTATGCAAAGGCTTTTTACTGTGTAGATCAGAACAAGCTATGGCTGACTCTGAGAAGAATGGGAATCCCAGAACATTTGATTGTACCAATGAGAAACCTATACTTGGACCAAAGGCAGTCATCAGAACAGAGCAAGGAGACACTACATGGTTCAAAATCAAGAAGGGGGAGGTCCATCAGGGATGTATTTTGTCTCCATACCTTTTCAATCTGTATGCAGAATAGATCATCTGAGACGCTGGGCTGTATGAGGAGGAATGTGGCATCAGGATTGGTGGAAGAATCAACAACCTGTGTTATGCGGATGACACAACCTTGCTTGCTGAAACTGAGGAGGACCTGAAGTACTTGCTGCAGAAGGTCAAGGACTGTAGCCTTCAATATGGATTGAAGCTCAACATCAAGAAAACAAAGATTTTCACCACTGGGCCAGTTGGCAGCACCATGATAGATGGAGAAAAGATTGAGGTTGTTAGCAATTTTAGCTTGTTCAGCTCCATAATCAACACTCTTGGCTCCAGCAGTCAGGAAATGAAAAGACTAATTGCACTGGGAAATTATGCTGTCAGGGAACTCTCCAGAGTACTGAGAAGCAATGACATCAGTCTAGAGAATAAGGTGTGCCTGTTCCAGGCCATACTCTTCACAGTTACTTGCTATGCATCAGAGAGCTGGACAATGACTAAGGATAGCAGAAGTAGTATCAATGCATTTGAGTTGTGGTACCAGAGAAGAATATATCATGGACACTAAGAAAACACAAATAAGTCTGTGTTGGAGAGGGTGAAACCAACTTTGTCCTTGGATGCTATGCTTTTGAAACTCAGTCTCATATTCTTTGGGCATGTGCCCAGGAGAGATGTCCTTGGAAAAGGACATCATGCCTGGAAGGGTGGAGGGACAATGCAGGAGAGGAGGATCCCAAATGAAATGCATTGATACAGTAACTGGGGCAATGGGGGTAGGTGTGTCGGAGACAGTGAGACTGGCTCAGGACAGGGCAGGCTTCAGAGCTGTTGTACAC